GCTCTGAGCAAAAATCAGCAGCTGTTTATTGTTTATTTTTTGTGCTTTTTGTTGTTTTTTTTTCTGATTGGGTCTGGTCTGATGCGCGCTTGTTGAGTATTTTGACGATTTACACAGGTTAGAGCGCTTTAAGACGTTGTGGAGAGTGGAAGAATGAAAGCGCGTAGCGTGTGCTAGAATTAGTAGTTATTATTGTGTTGTCGTTGTCGTCGTCGTCATAGTCGCCGTATCCGTGTCCGTGTTTTTTTTTTTCATTTTTGTTATATGCTTCTTATATTGTTTTGCAATATTTTTCATATTGCAATTGTTTTTGAGTACCGAAAGTTATGAGATTGTATGCATTTAGACAATTCAAAATGTACCAGACTACTAGTAATTTATTACAAACACACATATATATATTTATATATAACTATAGTAAACTAGTAGTAGCAACAGAATAAACGTTTGCCGGAATCGTTTTTAGCAAATATTTGCATAAATACGCGTTTTGAATATCGAAACAAATCTGTTCACTCAGCCAGCCGCCCAACACCTCCTCCTGCTGCTCTTAATGTAGATTTTAAAAAGTTGTGCTGGCCTGTTTTGTTGTGTTGTGTTGTGTTATGTGTGCAGTGCATTGTAGTGTCAGAGGCATAGGTAGAGTGGCAGTGGCAGTGGCAGTATAAAGAGACGAAACCGAAGAATTTCGTTTTGCAAATTGTAGCGATTTTTGTCATCAGAAACGCTTTTAATTTTGCTTATATTTTTGTTGTTGTTGCTGTTGTTGTGTTCATCCGATGTCGATATAGTAACGTTGTCATTTAGTTTTACGGACAGTAGATTGGTCGCTGAATAGTCAGTCGTTTTATTTGTTACCGAACGAAGTGTGGTGCATATGTACATTTGCTTCTTTTTACTATGTCGTCGCGTGTGTGTTTGGTATATATATATATACGTATATAATTTTGTAGTCGTTGAATGTATACTCACTCACTCGTATGTGGATTATTGCCAAAATGTAATGCCTCGACACACTCAATCAATTAGACTTAATTTATAAGCGTAAGGATTACAGTGTTAATTACGTGTAGTGTAAGCTGGCTCATTGACCGTTTCGTCGTATCGTGTACGAAGAACATATTTATACTCATACAACAATAAACATACATATAAATATATGTATGGTATTTAAATGCATATAAGGAATTTTTTTGTTGTTGCTGTTGTTGTTGTTTTATTTATATCTTTACCGAACTGTACCATCTGATAGACAATTTTCTGTGTGCAAATGTACGACGACGTCCACGTCCACGTCCTCTGCGTAATCGTTTTTAATTAAGTGCTTTGCAATGTACAGTGATTATGTGCGCTTACAGTAAAAGTAAAGTAAAGTAAAATAAAAAGGTGGTCGACGACACCAAACCATCACTAAGGCCGCGCCCAGTCGTCGCGAAACTTTATTTTTGTGTTTCTTACAATTGCACCCCTCCTTCAAGTGCATGCCAGCCGCCTGCCAAACTGCTGCCATTGATATGGCTGTGCACCGCTGTTTGACGTTATTTTATTTTGTTACTTACGATACGATATTATGCTGTGTGCCGTGCATGTTGGTCTGTTGAATAATTTTGTGTGTAGTGTTGCATTCTAGCGAGAAGCAGCAATGCATTTACCAGCAACAGCACCAGTACCAACCAGCACTAGTATTAGCAGCAGTTGAAGGAAACTCATACTTAAATTGTGCTTGTGCTCATATACAAACATATATAACACACATATATATTTTTCGACTCTGGTATGAGCATAAAATTTGCAATCAAAATTAAATATTTTACGTGAAAATCTTACTGACGATGAAACATTGACGATGGCAGCTTTCACTTTTAAAACAACCCAAAGCAGAGAGCAACACAAATACTAATTTAAATATTTCATTACTACTTACTTATCGCATTAATCGTACAGTAAATGTGAAAACAAAAACAACAACAAAGAAAAAAAAACTCACTCACTCACTTGTGTATTAATGTAATAATGATGATGTGTTTTTAACGTGTGATGTACTAATTATAATTTTAAAAACAAATAAATATGCCACACAATGTGCAAGAAGAAAATACTTCGGGTATGCCGCCCCCCCTCGACTTGTGATAAAACGTAATATTACTATTGTTGTTGTATATAAACAACTCCACACTGTGATGTTTTTGTTAAACAAAAAAAAAACAAAATTTTATAAAACTGCAATTTAATATTATTTTTGCCATATTATTAATTAATAAAAAATAAAAAAAAAATATTTCTGCTTAACAACGATTTATTTAAAAAAATTTACCAATTAAAAACAAAATTTTTAATTTTGGTTAATAAAAACAACAAATGTGAATAATTTACGTGTAAAACTTAAAACCCAAGAATGTGGACAAAACTTTTACAATTTCACATAAAAAACTCTACGCAATAAAATTAAGTCCCTAATCTCATAATAGTTTGTTTACTTATTGTTTTCCGTGTTTTCGATTATATTTCGAAAACCAACGGAACATCGTGCGTATCGAGCAAAATAGCAATTATAGTACGCGTAGAGACCTCTAGTGGCAACGCGCAGGATGGTGCTGCCGCGGAGCCAAATACTGAAAAAATCACTGCAACTTCAAGTTCAATCCAAACGACTTTATCGTCAACAGTTTGTGCTGCAGAACAAAAACCAACGGAATGCAACTCCTCTTCTCAGGTACTAAATATAACAAATAGAAAAGAAGAAAATTCGAAATTTTTCTTCCTTTATTAATTTATTAATATATCAAAGTGATATTTAAAATACAATCAATTTAAAAAATATATTTTATTGCCACAAATATTTTGATTGTAGTCTATAGTCACCCTTAAGATGTCTATAGGTTATGGTCGAAATATTGGTGATATTAAAATATATTTCTTTAAATAATTTAAAAAGTTGTGTTTTCCATAAAAACAATTAAGCTTGTAATAAAAAAATCTGGGCTCCGAACTGATAACCGAAAGAAAACTATATATTGAGCAAAGTGAAATGCGGAAAATCAGAGCTCCGAACTGATAACCGAAAGAAAACTATATTTTGACCAAAGTGAAATTCGGAACCGAACGGATATAATTTTTGATAACTTAATCTAAACGAAAGCTTTTAATAATATAAAAAAAAATAAAGGCTTCGAAAGGCAACTAAACCGATAAACAAAAGAAACTATATTTTTGCCGAAGTGAAATCCAGAACTAAACGAATATACTTTTTTATAACTTAACCTAAACGTAAGGTTTAAATACTATATAAAAAAATTAGGGCTTCGAACTGCAACTAAACCAATAACCAAACGAAACTATATTTTTGCCGAAGTGCAATCAAGAACCGAATCGATATAAATAATTTTTTCCTTTATTGAAACAAAAAAATGATCAGTTTAAAGATCTTAACAATACAATAGATTAATGTCTTGATAGTTAGATATCAAGTGCATCAGTCTTAAGAAAATTTTCCAAAACCTAAAGCCATGTAAAAAATACATTAAATAAATAATTAGACATCTTCTGTGACACTAGCTTTCGAAAGTGTTCTATATTTTAATGGATCCATACTTTTATAGATATGTGCAAAATAAAATGAAATAAATAATTTAAAATTCAAAATGTATTCTGTGGCACTGTGACATTATTTTCAAAATTTTTTAATAAAATATTTCAAAGAAAATAAGTAAATGACTTGACATTAAAGACATCCTTTGCGGCATTAACTGAAAATAGTGATCTATATCTGAATGGACGTGTGTGAAATATAATGAAATAAATAATTTAAAATTGAAGGTGTCTTCTGTAACACTGTAAAATTACTTTCAAAAATTAAATATCTTGTGTGACACTAATTACAAAAATTTTATATATTCTTGCGCAATCAAAATATAGTACACTACCATAATTTATTATTGTTATTATGAACATCAAAAAAATATAATTTAAATTATCAAATATAAGTGGTTAGGTTAGGTTATACCGGCGATCCCTAGAGAATCTACTTAGGCCTATTGGCTCATTGTGTTAACGTATGTAGAGGAAAACTCATGTTTTAATAAATGTAATTATATTGGGTTTTGTTTTGGAATCTGAGGTTATTGTTTATTGTGAGCAAGTTAATATACATTTTTTTTCAGCAAATTGATTATTTATTATTTGAATCTGAACATCTTAACTGTATTACTTTGTTACTTTCTAATAAGTTGTAATTAGTACATAAGGCTAACGATTTTTTTTTCTGATCCTTAATGTTTGAAAATTTCTTAAAGTTTTTCTTCTCAGTTGTATCTGAAACTAATATCTAAATATATATTTTTATAAGTATATATAGAAACCAAAAGCTTAAGAACTAGTTTAAAAATAATATAGTTGCAGAAAAAATGAATTTGGATGTTGAGGCACTATGCAGGTTAGGAACTTGTTTACAGTGCAAAAAATCTGTAAGCAATGCATCTCTTATTCTCTATTTTTTTTATTTTCTTATTAATTTATTGTTTTTGATGTAGCTTATACAGACGATTTTATGTTTGGATATATAATAATAGTTACTATTTCAATATATTATATATAAATAATGGGTTTAATAGAATTTTTTTACGAATATACCGTTCTTCCATTAAACGTTAAGTCTAAACAAGAGACGGCAACTAAACTTTTATTAAGACACTTTTGTAACAGAGAATATAAAGATGTAAACTGCAGTTCTGCAATGTTTTTACCATTCAATATATAAGGCGGAAGTAGTATTTATGCTTACCAGAAAGAGAAATGCTGTGGCTCATATAAAGCGTCTTATTGACGAAAATAAAATTTTTAAAATAATGATATTAAAATTAACTTAATCAAAATATACGAAAGGTAGAAATTTATTATTAAAATGATAAATTACATACATTTCGGTTTTAGATATTTTATATGTTTATTAGGTTTTTTTTTTGTTTGTTAATATTACTAATTTTTGGATGCTTCTATTTTAGGGCTCTGAAAAGTTAGGACCTATTGTTTTTCCTTCAACCCCTACTCAACATATTTCAAATGCAACTCCAAGTCCAACAACGCCTCGAAAATCTTCTGACTATCCACAACAAGCGGGTTCAAATTCCTCAGTGCAAAGTAATGAATCATTTTCAAATTCTTCTATTGGACCTTCTATTGGATCAATATCAGTTGCTGGTGTGTCGGTTAAAGAAAATGTGGTGCAAGGCAATAATAATCAAATTGGCGCAGTTACTGCTCCGGTTACTCAACAGAGTCAAACTTTCACACCACCAACAGCAACGGTTACATCAGCAGAGAAACCGCCATTGGGACCAACAATACAACAAACACCTGCAGTCGCTGTACAACCAAACAATCTTCCAATATATTCACCAGCAACACAGGTACTTTTTTCGTGTATATATTTCAACAAAACAAGCTTAATTAAATAAAAATCCATTTATACAGGTTTCAAACGATCCTAGAAGTTCAATTAAATCGCCAGCGTTATCTCAGCCAAATGATAATTACGGATCAAAAATACCTAGTTCGAATGCTGGTCATTTTATTTCGTCACCTAATGCACCAATTCATGTTAAAAATTTACTGCCAACGAGTACATCTAATCCTCAAGTTGGTATTGGAACAATATTGCCTACAACTTCTGCACAAGGTGGTATTGTTGGGTTCAGTGGTAAATTACCACCACCTTCAGCACAACCTGCACCACCACCAAGTAATTATACTACAGCACCAATAATTACTTCTTCGCAAAAACCAAGTGAACCTCCTTCACCAACGACGGACTCAAATAAAACAGGGCCTAGCCCGACTGTAGTAAATGGATACCTTCCTTCTTTTGCGCCAACAAACGCACAAAATATAAACAATGCACGTATTTCTCCACATACGCATGCACAACCGGTTGCATCTGTAACAAGTATTTCTGCGACTCCTACGCTAACAACAGCATCAACATTAGCTTCCGCACCAAAAATTGCTTCTAATACTGCTTCTTCAGTAGCTAGTAATAATGTTACTACTTCTGCTGGCCATAATTTCTCTCAAGGAATTCCTAATGCTCCTGGTGTAGGTACACCTCCAACTGGAGTTTTAAGCGGTGGTTTGCCGCCAAACGGTATTTCTCCATTATTAATACATTCGTCTCCCTATCGACCACCATATGCAAATTATGCATTATATACACCTTACAATAATCTTCAATATGGACCTTATCTTCCTCCAGCAGTGCCATCACCCAGTGCATCTCCGCGTACAATAGATACACGCACAAATCGAGAGTCTACTATGGTATCAGTCACAAAATCAGCAGGAATGCGACCTTTAACTCCAGTTAGTACAACTGCAACTACAGCTATAGCAGCAAATGCGAATGTTCCTTCCAGCACTCCTACATCGACAACAGGCTCAGCACCACATATGATGCATCATATACCATACGGCGTTGGACCACATGTACCTCCAGCACCACCACAAACATCAGTGACCGTTGGAATGCAAGGACCTAGTCCTATAAGCCATAGTCATAATAGCAGTGCAATTAATTCATCGGGTGCAATGCCTGCTGTTGCCACAACTTTAAGTAACAGTATTCCACCTCCATCATTAAATAGAGAACCGCAATTACTTCCACCTCCACAATCCCACATGGTCCCCCAACCACACCAACCACACCTACCACCTCCTCCAATTCCGTCAGCGCATTCTGGACCACATATGACTTCAATGTCACATATACTATCTCACCCACAACACACAATGCTACGTGGTGCTTCTCCTAGTACTGCCAGTAACAACAACAGTGGAGGGATTCCAGGTTCTGTTTCGTCGTCTGTGATTCAAAGGGTAATATCTCCTAAAAGTGAAAGTCCGAATAAAGAACGGGATCCTAACTTTAGGTAATGTAAAAATACAATAGATATGTAATATATTAACCTTAAAATCGATAATACTATAGCATGTCACGACCATCATCTGCTAATACTCATAGTGGTCCTGTACCTACTCCATATATTAGCATAGCAAATACCATAGGAACAAATTTACCAGCAGCTTTTAGTACGGTTTCATCTTTACATCCTTCGCAATCTCTTCCAGCAACAACGTTTGCAACTTCTCATTCAGTATCATCTAATCCTAGTCTACCCTACCCTTCAAAACCATCTCATTGGCCTAGGTAATATATTATTTTATTATATTTTTAATAATTTTTGTAATTATTATTTTATATATTAGTTCATCCGGGCAAATAACAACGCCAACGATGACTGCTACTTCTTCCAGTGTTGCACCGCGGCCAACTCCGCCTTCGCCAATTAACAATTCGACTGTAGCAGCAACAGTGTCACATTCGGTTTCTCCTCAAACAACACATTCCATAAGCACCGCACCGTCTTTTCAGCCACCATTTTTCGCTACACCATTACCGCATCCTCAAACTGCTGCGCCGACAGCTAGTAATTCTGCTGCAATTACACCAACAGCACCTGCATCTTCGTCAATGACAACAGCAGCAAGTACAACACCAGTTACTGTAGCTTCTACACCAACAGCTCCTCATCCATTTTCTGCAGAATCTCTTTTTCAACCAAGTAAAAGTAAGTCCCGTGACAATCATTAATCATTAGTTAATTTTTCAAAATAAATTTAAAATAGGTTTTTTATTGAAAAAATCTAAGATATGACACGATAAAAGTAGAAAAATATTAAGCACATGTTATGAAACATATATCTATATGCGTAAATTAAGATTTTAAAATATACAGTATAATTATATTTTAGTATTATTATAAATTAAAAATATAGAGAAATATTAAAACACATTTATTTATAATAGACGACCAAGCAGATTTATTGCGTCGAGAATTGGACAGCCGGTTTTTGGATCGTTCTGGTTTAGCAGTTCCTCCTCCAACTCCTCAATCAACATACCTACGTCAGGAGCTACATCATCATCAACATCAACATACTCATTTACATCAGCACCAACAATTGCTGCCATCTGCAATACCTGCAGCGATTCCAACAGCTCCACCTGCACCCGCGCCAATATTTGCACCTCCTTTATTTAAGGACATTCCTAAAATAGCTGCTGTAGAATCGCCATTTTACCGAACTGGAATAGGTTTACCTGTGTATTCAGGCTATAATCCCGCTAGTTTACTACATCCTGGTCTAGGAGGTCCAACTCCTTTTATGCCTCCTAACCATTTAACTTCATTTGCTCCAAAAGTAAGTATTTAACTAATAAGACTAAAGCACATTTACAAAATATTTACAAATACAAATTCACATAAATTCATATTTTCTATAAGGTGTTCATTCCCTATTGTCTAAAAGTTACCAATTGAATCCTTTTACACTTTTTTCCTTTTCATGTTAATTTTCATCATATATCACGTATTGTTTTACATTAAAACAAAAAAAAAAATAAATGTAAATATATATAATCACAACCAATTACACAAACAACCAACAAACCAATCATCCAGCCGTTACCATCATCGCCCTCTACCAATCCACCAACGAATCTTGATTCCTCTAAGTCGACTAAATTTACGGTACGTTGCCGCCATTTTTTTTCTTCAAATTCTTTTAAATTAATTAAAGTAATTTCGTTTGAATTAAATTAAAATTTTATTATATAGAATATTTTGAAACGTAGATCAATATTATTTATACATATTTTGTATTATTAAAATTATTTTCTACAATCAGGATGTAAAGAGTAATCAACTATCCCAGAGTAGAATTTACCTATTTCTTTAATTTTTACATTTTTAACGTTAGAAAACTCTTGTAGCAGTCATTTCCTTTTTGACACGATCATTTATTAATCTCTTATTTTTGTAATATTATTTTTATTATTTTAACATTTTAAAACCATTAACTGTTATACCTCATCACATGTTTTGTATTTAGCAATATATACAATTTATTTATTATATATTAACATACATATTAAGTAAATTAATTTTAATGTAATATGGTACAAATTAATTTTAATTAGAAAACGGGACGATGGAACGCAATGCATGTGCGTATTGCGTGGGAGATCTACTATCATCAAAATAAACAAAATCCTGATAAGCATGGTGGTGTATCGGCGCCTGGTCCTAGCAGTAGTATCAGTGGTTCTCAAAGTAGTGTACCATCAGTTTTAAGTAGTGGACCAACGCCACCTGCAACACCATCTATGAGTATTAAGGCATCCCCGTCATTATCGTTAAGTAGTGCTTCACCTCATATGTTACATCGGCCAGGAGAAATTCCATCTGCTGCAGCTTATGCAAGCGCATTACCTGGACGATCACCGTTTGAAGCTTCACCATTGTCAACAAGTTTTATTGGAGCACCACCAAGTCATATTGGTAAGACTCTTAAATATATTAACGTATACTTCGAGCAAGATTTAATAAAATTTATTATTAAAATTATATGGTGATTTGTTTTTTAAAATATTTTTAGGGACAGCAGTTTCACCGTTTGGTCGCTATGTAGGTCCATTTGGATTTGCTGGTCTATCACATTTTGGACGAGAAATACCCCTTGGAGGAACATTGCATGACCCGTGGAGAAGGTTAGCGTAAGAAATTTATAATAAAATTTCATCAAGAATTTATAAATGTATTTTTTTACAGTGCATTGCAACGTAGTGTACCTTATCATCCAGCTACTGGTTCACCAGGTTGGCCTATGAAGCCTGATGTAGCGTTAGATAATGCTCGACGAGAAGCTGAAGAACGTGAACGTGAAAGGGAAATGAGAGAACGAGAACAACGTGAACGTGAAAGGCAGCGAAGAGAACGTGAAGAGCGTGAACGTAAAGAAAAGGAAGAAAAATTAAAACGTGAGCAGCAGGAACGAGAACGAGAAAGGGAGAGAGAACGTGAACGTAAAGAACGCGAACGCCGTGAAATGGAAAGACGAGAATTAGAACGAGAAAGACTGTTACAGCAACAAAGAATTAATGAAAGTAATAAAATATCTCAAGCTGCTGCAGTTGCTGCAATGAATGTTATGCCACGTGATAGATCACCATTAAGAAATGATTTAAGCATCACCGGAGGTGAGATACGAATAAAAGAGGAACACCCGCGAACGAAAGAAGAACAAGATGCCATGATGATGCGAGCTACAGCAGCAGATCCACGATATCATTCTTCGTTAGCGGCTGCGCAAGCTAGTGCCGCAGCGCATCATGCATCATTTTTGGCTAGCAGACATGGTCCACATGTTCCCCCTCCACCACCACATCTTTCACGTACAATGATGCCTCCTTCTTTAGGTGGTCCACCTTTAACACATTTTGGACCACCTGCACCACCAGGCTGGCCCATGGATCCTTATCGTGACCCATATGGACCAATGTTGCGGTACAATCCATTAATGGAAGTAGCTTTACGACATGATGAAGAGAGGCATAAAGCTGCTATGAGCATGTATGCTGTTCAATCGGCAGCACATCTTAGAGGAAAGGAGCCAAGTCCCATTCCTCCGCCTTCAGTTGGTCCATTAGGTCCTCCTCATCATCGTATAGCACCATCACCGTTAACAGTACCACAGTCATCAATGAGTGGGAAACCTCCATCTTTAGGTGGTATGCCACCACATCCAATGGCTGTTGATGTGTTACATACAACAAAAAAAGAAGACCCAACATTAACAGGACTTGGTGTTGGCTCAACACCATCACCTGCTGCTTCGGGTCGATGATAAATGTCGCTGGCGAAAATGTAATGAATTATTTTATTTTCTTATATTTATACATTCTTATCAAGCTTTCTTTATCATTTTTGTTTATAATGTATAAATATAAAAAACTCATTATAACATGTAGAAATTTTTTACGAAAATATTTTAATCGTAACTTCTCATTTTGTATTATACTTATTTATTTATAAAGAAAAGCAAAAAAAAAACTTATTTAAATATGAATCTAAGTGTAAATTAATTTTAAGACAAAATTACCCATACGATCAACAATTTCATTTTGTTGATCAATTATGTGTAAAATTATTTAGAAATAAAAATCTTGTAAGTGCACTTGCACTGTCTTATGTATATCGAAATCGTTTTGCAAATTCTTAAATGATTTAAAAAAAGATATGCAACAAACTATTTGCAATTATTTGTATGTTTAATACGTAAATATTTAATGTATTCTTATACATAAAAATTATATATATTTATAAATAATTTTAGTATATAGGGCATACATAATTAGAGCATTTGTATTATTTGTATAATGATGGTAGAAAACTACAAAATATATATATATATATAATATAAATAATATATATCTTCACGTATATATATATATTATATATTATGTATATATATATATCTTATATATATAAATATATAAAAAATTATTTCTTAATATTAATATATCTAAATATTACGTTTAAGTAGCTTTACGTTATTTATAAAAAACGCATATTATGTATTTAATTGATAATGAATAAAATAGAAACATTGCTAATAACTCAAAGCTTCTGTTCTAATTTTTGCTTTATATTTAGTTTACTGAGAATCTGAGAAAGAAGTGCAATAATTTCAATAAGGAGACCACAAATATTGCTAAACACAAATCTTTCTTGTAAAGTAGTGTATCAAGCAGATAAAAAGTCTTGAGGAAGTCAGCATATATAGGTAATTTACTTTTGCGTAACTGGCTTTGTAAATAATCATATAAGAAGTCAATTTAGTATCAGTCAAGAAAAATCATTTCACGACCCTTTATATTTTCCTATAATCCCATATTTAAGAATAGAATAATTACGCTTATTACTTTAGAATTTTTAATGAAGAGGACTAGTGTAGTAACAGATTATATGCCAACAATGTGCAAAATCGTATGATAGTCATATACACAAGTGACATTCAGACGATTCGCAAAGTGATCAGTCTTATAGTAATATTGCTGACGGCTTATTGTCGGTTAGCAAACCGTGTAGGGGATTGGATATATTTTCTTTAATAATACTTTTCAATTGGTATTGGACTTTCTTTTTAGAGCATTTTAGTCAATTACGGAATCATCCCTTAACATTAATGGTTCGAAATTAATGATTAGAAATTTTCCGGGATTAATATTACAGAATAATAAGCCAACAGATCAACAGAATCTCCGTATAAATTTAACCTAAACTATATTTGAAACAACTAAAAACTCTAGTAAATTTCATCAGTCTAAATAATTTATTATGTATTTTTAAAACCAAATTAAAGTTCAACTTAAGCCCATAGAACCTTCGTTTAAAACTTGTCGCACATTTATATTTATCCGTGAATCATTTAAATAATTTCTATATGGCATCCAAAATGTTTCATCAATAACTTTCTCAAATAAAGTTGCATTTATATTCCATTCTGTAGGGTCTAATAAAAAATCGGTTTTCACTTTTTTCCCATTTGGTAAGTAAGCACAATTTGGAGCTATATTTTCATTCCAAGGTTCTTTTTGAGTTTTCATTATACGTGGAACCGCATGGTAACAAAGTCTAGCCTCTTGCGACATAATCAATAGGTCGCCGCTTTGAAGAAAAATAGCAGATGGTTTCTCTTCTATTGATTTACCGCCAATTAAAAATATTGCTGTTTGCCCAAAACTAAAATAAAATTAAATATTTTAATGTTGTTTCATTTTTCTATGAAATAACCTACCTTAAAGAAAATAAAGGGGCAGTAAGGTTTTGCTCTGAATGATCAGTATGTCCTGATAATGTTGTTCCAATAGGATAATAATTTACAATGGCTGCTTCTGCATTAAACTTTTCGAAATCCAAAACTTTTGCAAAGAAAGAACATAATTGCCCTAAATCAGTTGGAAATGTACCACGCATATTTTCATTGTATACTTTAGTATTCCAATCATGATGATATCCCAATGTGGCCCAACGTAAACCTATTTTCATTCGTCTTGCTTCATTTTTATCTTCGCACTTTTGTAGTTCTGTCCACCAATCCTCTATAACTGGCTGTGAAAATAACTTATCATTTAAGTTTACTACATTTGGATGATGTGGAAAATCTTTTAAAGAACGAGCAATCCAATATCTTTGACCATGTGCTGTGAACGCGTTACGAACTATAATTAGACCGGGATGATTTGGAAGATTAAAACATCGCCATGTATGTAGAGGTTGCAAACCAGGTGGCAATTTGCCTAAAGTTTGACAATTATTTAAAATTAACTCATTTACCTATCTTAAAGCCAAAATTAGTGACTATTATAAAAGCAATCAGTAGATACACTTACCGTTTGATCTGACTCAGACTCAAAATCTATAACATCCTTAAAATCCGGCACTGTCCATTTACTTTTATAATATTTAAATCTCTCTCTGAACATTGTCACATTTTACTACCTTTTTATTAAATAATAAATAGCGCAGTGTTGTGTAACGAAGTAAATTTATGATGGATTATATTTACATTTATAATATATTGATATATTTTATAAATACTGCTTATAAATATGCTTTTAAAATGAAAAAGCAGTTTTTAAAAATGAATCAATCAATCATTTAATTAATATTATATAATTCAGATTTCATATATGCATGTTTAAAATAATAAAATATTTTTTCCGAACAATTTTCTATACAAAAACAGCTGATTTTAAAAACGCAGTGGTTTCCAATATAATATAACAACAAGAAATAATATTTAGGGTGAGGAATTTTTAGTAAAAGCCAAAAGAAAATAAAAATATTAGCAATGGATGAGAACGAAATGGACATGGATGAAGATGTTATTGCTATGGAAAATTTAGAGGAACTAAAAGAAGCATTAAAAAATATTGAAAGTACTTTGCCAGAAATCCTCGAGTACAAGAGTAATGATAAAATTTCATTAGAGGAGAAAATTAAAATTGATAATTACTTGCTATATGCTGTGAACTCCTTATTTTTTATATATCTTAAACTACAGGGTTTGAGTTCTGAAAAAGTAAGATACAAAAAATGCATGACAATTTTATTAGCAATTAACATATATTTAATTTTAGTATGATGTCAAATTTGAGCTAACCCGCGTAAAGGAGACTCTAGTACGAGAGAAACAAATACATGACCACAAAACTATACGTCCAGTCCTGGATAAAGGAGCTGCAAAACGTTTCATTAAACATGGACTAAAAATACCTCGAATACCGGAAAAGAAAAAATAATTCTTTATTATTTTCATTTTAATTAAGCATTTATTTAAGAGTGTATATTTATTTTAATAAATTGATAACAATATTACCAATGGCTAATGACGCAGATAAAAGAATATACAAAAAAGTGTTATAATTAAAAGTTTTTTACATGAATTAAAGAAAACTAGTTTTCCATGTTATTAGTTCTAAGATAACCATTTATATAATAATAACGCAAATTTACAATAAATGTTTTACATCTTTAGATTGACTTGTACTATTGTATCTTTTTATACAGTAATATTGTTGTATTAACATTAACTTTCTATTAATGCTAGTTTAGTTCATAGTTCGAAATAAAATCTTATCTCCGTAATAAATGCGTAATTCATGTAAATAAAACACCTACAAATGATGGTGTTAAATTATGATAAGATAAATATTAAATATAATATAATTCACCAAAATAACTCATTCAATATTATGGAAACACAAGTTTCACTGTTATTAAAATATGTTGTAGTTATAGCAATGTCCCACAAGACATATGTATATAGGCGGATGTTATATTTTTATAAATTATTTTTCTAACCTAGGATTATAGTTGCAAATTTCTTTCATATTTTCAGTAAATGATAGAATTCATGCACATGTATTGATTGGAGTTGATTACTAAATGGTGCCATACTATTTAGTAGGGGTCACTTGTGAGTGTACATAATTTAAGATAACAATCTGCTTGTTTTCGAGTTGGTACAATTCAGTTACTTCAGCTGAACGAAAATAAAAGCTCAATTATTTGCGATTAGGATTAGCTTAATAATTAGTAAATTAATAAAAATTAATCAATTATGATATGTGCATAACAAGCTTAAAAAAAGTTTACTTAATGATGAAATTATCATTTATTATCTAGCCGCCTTAAAATCAACACATGTAGAAGTGACCCACAGTGATATATCAATCAAATGTGATGAGGGTGATAGCTTATGTGATGCTCCCTATCAAAGAACTCCGGTGAAAGTTTTGAACTATATATTGCAATGACAAGGTTTGCTAATCCAAAACTTTCAAAAAAATATACAACGAGATAGATTTATTACTAAATCTACAAAGTGTCGAATGGTTAATGTATTCCTCTATGGCGCGTTTTCATAATTTTGCAAGATGGTTTAATTTATTAGTATATGAAACATGTATATTATTTACACAAAGAAATTATTAATAATTAAATCACACGATTGAATTCCACATCAACTAAACAAAAAATATCATTTATTATACGATATAATCATACATGTATGTATGTAGTAAGTATTGGCTGTTTTAATATTTATTTTAATTGTGAATTTAATTATTTATAAATTGTATAATAAAATAACTATGACGGTTACATTTTGCATATTAAACAGATTTTTTAGCGTTAAAATGTTTATAAAAAAGTGGATGCGCAAATTTTTTACGTATATAGACACATGAGCATGTATGTATGTCAGAATGTATATACATTTGTACGTTTAGTATATTTACATAGGTTAAAGTTTCGCTATAAAAACAGTTTTAACTACTGGGTTAATGATTCATTTGGTAATAATACCAATAATATGTAATTTTACATTGTAGTGGTGAAATTGTTAAAATATATTATTATCGTATTAATATATGACTTTGGTTAAAATACCATCGATTTAAGATGTGTCAATCATTATTCATTTGTGTACACTCCACAATTAGGTTATAAATAAATTTTGTATTATTAAAATTATATCTAAAATTTTGAAATGTTTTTCTATCTTTATTTTTTGTATGTATATATATATGTTTATGTAAAGTTGTTTTTTTTTGAGTCTACAGGGTGTGCAGTATGCAAACTTAGTTATATGTGCATATATATATATATGTATATGTATATATATATTTTAACTTACATTTTCTGTTCTTATTGTTGCCACAGTCTTGGGGAGGTACCTACAATATACGGTTTCACTTTCAACTCTATTTACTGGATTCTAAAGGTCAAGTTGTACAAATACTAAAGAACTACTACGTAAGTCGAAAACTGAACCGGATTTCGGTTCAGCACAGTACAGTTCTTTTCTTGTTTATTAAAACGCATTCCCTTTTTGGATGTAAAAAATTGCTATAATAAAAGTAAAAACCTTAAAAATAGTTTATTAAATGTTTTTTTTTATTGAATTAATAAAATGATTTTAATCATGACAAAAATCTTGCTTGTAATAAAGAAAACCTATAAAGTATTAATCTGAAATTGAAGTGAATACCGAAAGTAACCAATATTTGGACTGAACCGTAAACTGGAAGCGAACCGTTATATGAACATATATTATTAATATTGAAGCCAGAGTGAAAAAGTATTATATTCGTAGTTCAGACTATAACAGTCCGAAATATAGATATACTGTTTGTACTTTTGTTGTAGTTTTAAGGCAAGCCTGTAGCCAGAAATTAACTTAGGAACAGTTCTAGATAATTTATTTAAAATATTTACCTTATTAAACAGTCAAGATGCATTATTAATGGTTATACATTTGTTCTAAGATTTAGACCATTCATTACTTTTGGAAAGTGTGTGGTAGGGGAGAGTTTAGGCGTGTTCCACTCCCTAGCTAAATACTAGTTTAAAGAGTAAACGACAACTTTCTGTTTCGCTTCTAACTCCGTCTACTTGTTTTTAGATTTGAAGAACTGCAAATATCCATAACATTAGATATATACAACTATTTTTGGTTCTAAATAATCTCAAATGTTCTATTCAACTGTTCTTACATATAACCTTAAAGAGCGCTCACAATTGCTTATTTTATCAGTTTCAAGAGCTCCAACTTTTTGTAATAGGAATGGAGAATCGCAATTACTGCTGCTTTCAGAATTTTAAAACTATATTTAATTTTGAAGAATTGACAATTTCTCAAAATAGGTTCTACAATGTAGTCGATGAAAAATCGATACACATTTACTTTATACTGTTACAAATATAGATTCTCTGCATAGGTAATTTTATTTTTTCTCCCACCTAATTAATAATGCCCATTTATTAATAAATAAAAAAATTGTTTATGTTTTAAGCTACACATATATTTTATTTTATTATTAATTAACAACAATTAACGCATTTTGTAATTTCATTCAAACGAAATTTAAAGCCAATTATAATTTCAATAGTTTTATATGTATGTATTTAGTATATATATTACTGCTTCGTTAACAAATAGAAGTGTTTGCGTAATATATATTTTTATTGTACTTCACTATACAATATAATAGCTTCTGTTGTGTTTTGTGAAATTACATAATATCAAGATTCTATATCTAAAGTGTGCTTTTCTCCTTTACGCAGTGGCACGAAAATGTAATACATTTTAAATAAATTCAAATGGATTTTAATTAATATTTTAAATTTTTTATTTTTGTTTGATAATATAATTTAATAATAGAACAGGAGAGGGTGAAGAGTCCTTAAATGCTACAGCTCCTGTCTGTGCGTCCTCTAATAATTTAAGTTGTATGTTATAACAAGTATTTAGTCCTTGCTTTGCATGTATTTGATTAAATCAATAACACGGTTGGAGTAACCAAATTCGTTATCATACCAGGAAATGAGTTTAACGAAATTATCGTTAAGAGAAATACCAGCTTTTGCATCAAACACTGATGAGTGAGTATCACTAATGAAATCTGAAGATACAACTTCTTCTTCAGTGTAATCAAGAATGCCCTTGAGAGGACCGTTAGCAGCTTCACGCACCTTTTGCTTAATGGCATCATATGATGCAGCCTTGCCCAAACGAACAGTTAAATCTACAACTGATACATTAGCAGTTGGTACACGGAAAGCCATGCCAGTAAGTTTGCCATTGAGGGCTGGAATGACTTTGCCTACAGCCTTGGCAGCGCCAGTAGATGCAGGGATGATATTTTGTGCTGCACCACGTCCATCACGCCATAATTTGCCAGATGGGCCATCGACAGTTTTTTGGGTGGCTGTGGTAGCATGTACAGTGGTCATGAGACCTTCAACAATTTCGAAATTGTCATGAATAACTTTAGCTAATGGAGCAAGACAATTTGTTGTGCATGATGCATTAGAGACAACTTTCATGTCTGGGCTATAAGCGTCCAAGTTGACACCGCATACGAACATTGGTGCATCAGCAGATGGTGCAGAAATAATAACCTTCTTGGCACCGCCCTTAAAGTGAGCACCAGCCTTATCGGTTGTGGTGAAAACACCAGTAGATTCTACAATATATTCAGCTCCAGCGCTAGCCCAGTTAATATTAGCGGGGTCGCGTTCGCTGAAAACTTTGATCTTTTGACCATTAACTACTAAAGCTCCATCTTCAGCAGATACGGTGCCCTTGAAACGACCGTGAGTAGAGTCGTATTTGAAGAGATAAACCATGTAGTTTACATCAATGAAGGGATCATTGACTGCTACAACGGAAGCTCCGGCAGAAACAGCAGCACGGAGAACCAAGCGTCCGATACGACCAAAACCATTAATACCGATTTTAGACATTTTATTTTCACTTTTTTAATTAAACTTTTACTTTCAGAAAATCTTTAGAAGCAATAAGCACTCCGTTCAGCTCTCTCACAAGAAAACGACTGAGTCGAGTGAATACCTGCAAATTTAATATACGGTACTTGTTTCTTGTTGTCAATGTCAGTTGAAGGGCATTCTCATTAATATAGTGCTTTCATAAAAAATTTGCAAAATTTTTGTTTAATGATAGTAGCTAAAAAGAGATGAATAGCTTTTAAGCTCTTTGTGGCAAGCAGTATTACCATCATGTGATAAAATAAAAATTAACGGGATAATCGAACAGTATTTTGTTTTCAATATAGTTTATTAAACATTTGAACTTAACTAAAAAATAAATAATTTAAAAAATATTTGTTAAAATTAAACAATAAATATGACAGTGTCTATAATATGTTTGTATAAAGTTAATAAATTGCTTGAATTTTAGTGTTCCTTTTATTGTGTAAATTTTGAACTATTGTTTCTGTTTTAATAACAGATGGCGCTTATTGTACTTAAATGGTTGTGAACTTAAATATTTTAAAGTTTAAATATAACTTTTGTTAATAAATAATTATATTTTTATTATCATAATTGTATTTGCAAAACTGTATAATTATGGTTATCGAAGAACTACTTCATCAAGATTTTAATTAAATTTTTATTATACTTATTAGTAACTATAAGATTATTATTGTGCAAGCATTCATTTTTTTTATGAAGAACACTATATGTGTGTATAAAGAACCATCTCTTTTCTAAAAATTAAATAGGTAGTAATTTAATAACTTGATGTCGCTAATTTTTATGTATTTCAATTAAAAAGAAATTTTTTTTTGTTTTTTAAATAACTGAATATATTTACATGGTTCTTTTTGTACAGCTAATCGTTACCATACTACTCTGAAACATGGCCCTACTGCTCCATTGTACATCTCCTTGCTATTTGAAATATCAAACAAATGATGATATTTATACAACAGTCATCCAACAACGTGAGTTGTTACATGCATTTTTCGCCACATATACAAAGTGCTCTATGCTGGAAACAGAACCACGAGAGTCGTTCTTGAGCTATGCTTATTATTTTGGCAGCGCCATCTAATGAATGTTACAATAGTAACATAATGATAACAGCAGAGGCATATCTCCTTGCCATCTATTATCTTGATTTAGGGTCAACTGAGGTTAGCTACCCAAATTTTGACTAAGTTATTTAAGCTTTTTGAGTTCAGCGTGAGTAAATAACACTAGAAATTTAAGAATAATATTATAAATTAACTTTATATACATAAAATATATATGAGTATATATTATATATACATACATACGCAAACATATCAGTTTTGATGCCTTTATCGCAAAAACCTATAACGAAATAATTAAGCTTAATATAAAATCGAGAAACTAAAAATAAAATTATGAACATAAATTACGCAAGTTCTACAAAATTTACAAATAATCTATTACACTATGTTATTATGAATATAAAAATAAATATGTATATAAATATATATTAAGATGGTTTTTTAAAGCTTATTGTGCCAAAAACCAAATGCGTAGAAGTACAGAAACGAAATAAGTGATTAATGTCGACTTTGTTAAATCAAATAATAAATTTCTTTTTATTATATATGTAGGTAAAAATCTCTTCGAGAGACTCACACTACTTCAGGCTTATGCTAAAACAAATTAATTTTAAGGTCACTCTATGCAAAGTCAAAGCTTTTGAGATTTATCTTAGCGGAAAGTTGATTGTATATTTAAAAGAATTGTGAAATTATAAAGTTTAAATAATAAGCAAATCACTAAATTTTATATAATTTTGCAAATTTTAGCTAAAATTTGTGCTAATAACATTTATAGCAGTGGTTGGGTCTGCGTACCGAAGCTCACACCTATCCACTCATTCTGTCTCTTCTCTCAAACAACAGTCCCTATTCTTACTCTTCCATCACCGGCTATTAAAAACTACCTCATGTATTCGTATTTGTAATTCATTCATGTTTCCTGCTAGATAAATCTCCGCGGGCTACAAGGTTTCATTGTTCTACACAGATGATAGTGCTAACAGGGACAACACCAGTTGCTGTTGCAGCCCATGGAGGTCTGCTGGTATAGTTCCTTTTGGAGTATTGAATGGTACATGCTCGTCGACCAGAGGCTCCGTGATATAGACATAGCAGCTCTTGGAATAGTTGGGCAATACCAGTAGGTCTCTTTGGGTTATAAAAATAAAATAACATTTAGATACATATATCCTATAATTATTGATATTTCTTGCTGAACAGATCCCTTTGGGTTACGAAATCAGCGTAATCTCTTAAACTGGCTAAATTTTTTAAAGTAATTATTCCATACATGATAAAGCATTTCTAATAAAAAAGTATATTAAAATATAATTTATTTCAAACGCCTGTTTTAATAAATTCAATATTATTTTAATTCTATTGTATATAATATGTTAATTTAAACTTCAAAAAATTTTACCTCGACTAGACTCACGCTTTAAGTATGTTTTTTTAAAATTTATTTTATATTATCTTCTGCTTTTAATTTTTTCGTTTTTGTTGGAAATGCTTTTTTCAACTTTTTGATGCTGTCAGTTGGTACTTTGGCTTTATTATTATGTATATTTCAGCTAAGATGAGCAGTATTTCCCTGCGTGTGTTAAATGAAAGGATACTTACCTACTTACTGCAATTCTTCTCTCCTAGTGGAACATAGGGCCTCATGAATGAAAGAATACACTCCGTTATTAATATGAATTCATAATTTAGTAAAACAAGTCATATATTAAATGTGACATTATCAATGTATAACTTAATTGTTTAATATTATCATGATGATTATTATTTTTATCTATATAAACTACATCGAATTTAATTCAAATAGTAAAAAGCATTAAAAGAAAGAATCATATTAATTAAGTGGGAAGTGTTATTTTATTATTTTAATTATTTTGATTTATTTTTTGCATATACCATTTTTATTAAGTAGAACCCTAATTAATCTCATTATTTTAAGGTGAATCGATTGAAACACCAAGCACTTGGATAACACAATTGCAACAAAAAACGATAAATGCTTGTTTATATAATTTGATGTATTTTTCGTCTTCAACTTTTTAGCTAAATTTTCTGATTTCTCTATTGATGTATATAGACAATATATAAATATTTTGTTCATTTGGCAAGATGATTAAATTTAGCAAAATTTAAAAAAAATTCTAATTTATATTTTAAGTACTTTACATACAATTTTTTGTTATCGCTTCCTAATGATAATTATTTTTGTTTTTTAAATAGTAAATAAATAGCATATCATTAAATATTTTTTTCATAATATATTATTAATAGGCTTATTGTTAGTAAACATAAAACAAACTGTTTATTAAAATAATTACAATTTATAATCGCAAATGAAAACAAAATAATGTTACATGAATATATATATATATAAATAAGTATATATATACTAATTTATGTATAAAATAATACAGAGTAAAATTGATAACATACTAATCGACTTAGTATAAGCTATGTATTTCTAATACAATACAAGTTTACTACGCCTTCGTTACACATCAAACAATTCAATTTTAGGTATATTCTGTATTTTGTGTATGTAAGGGAGGAGTGTGTTTGTTAATTGTTTTTGTTATACTAGCGTATACGAATTACATTATTTTTACAATTCTTTCGCTATAATTTTTTTAAAATTCATTTAAGATGTGATATTAAATATATGAATATTAAAAATATATAATACATAAAACATAATTCATATATATATATTATATATTTTCAATTCATTTGTAATATTTTGCTAAGTATGCAGGCTTTAGCTTAAATTCAAGTGTCGTTCGGTGTATTTATATGACCATTTTTATAAGGAGTATTAATATTATCATTTTTAGAATTATGCTGTTTCTTGATAGTCTCCGTTTCCATTGAATCCTCTTTAACATTAGCCTTTTTAACGTTACTGTTACCATTCCCTCTATTCATATAGATTGAATTGCAATACTTTGAATCATTCAACGATGACATTGTTGTCGACGGTCAAAGGTCTTTCAATAACGCGCTCTTAGCATTCTTTAATTTATCTAGTCTTTTTAATAAATGATTATTTGATGTTTCAAGTTCTTCAAGACGTTCCATAGCCTCACGATTCTGTAGAAAAAAGATTGCAATTAATTAATTTATTTATTAAAATATGATAACAAATCACAATTACATACTTTTATAAGCATAAGAGTCATTATATTTAAAAATAGTATAAGTTAATTTTTAACAAAGAGATTAAATACTCCTTTTTTGGAATGTATCACAACCTTCACAAAGACTTCTTTGTTTTAATAAAATTTAACAATTAAAAAAGTAATAAAATGTGAAATGACAACTTTTATATATATGCATCTCATTATTTGTTGGGTTTATAAGATATATATCCTTTTATACGAAGATATACACTTAAATGCTGTTTTAATTATAACTAGCTTTAACGGAATGCAGAGATTCCTAATCGCTGGATAGACTAGATCTAATCGTGATGTTTACACAAACAACCGAACCATTTGCTACGTGTAATATGACAATAAAACGGAGTGCAAGCGCTAATTGAATTAATAGAGAATTACCAGCTAAACTGACCGACAAACCATAACTTGTATTCAAATGCAAAACTATAGAAATATGATTTTTTGCATATCTTTTACACTACTATAAATTAAAAGGTATTTTAAGTATATAAGTTTGTAGAGTGCTGGAAGAGAGGTATGTACTCTCAACTAGAAAGAGATATATATTCTCAACGAGCAACTCAATACAAATCGCTTTTTGAATCCCCCACTGCCTGTTGTCTGTTCCTTAACGCAGTTTGTAAGTTTATTAAATAAAGCTTTGCAAACAGATATTATTCAGACCCAACTGAATTCAACAAATGCATTAAATTGGGTGAACATAATATGTTGAAAATGCGTTTATATATATTTAATTATGGATTTTATTATAAGCGTGGCCATATATATATATATATATATATATATTATACCCCTAAAACACTTTCTCTGTGAATGCCCGGTTTTTGTGT